GTCACATATTATTCCCACGCAGAAGAAAGAAAAGGAACATAAAAATGATATGTGTAGGGAAATAGGAGAAGTGGTTGGCAGAAAACGAAAAGGTTTTTTTTATTAACATTCTGAAGGTGAGTTAGCACAGTTAACCAATCTGCGGGTGTTTGGGGGGGGGGGGGCGCCACTGGTAGGTCCTACTTGTTTTATATAACTTTTGATTCTGTCTGTCTGTCTTACTCGTTTCCTGCACTTAATGACCGTTATCGTGTCGATGTACTTCTCTTTACTCAAACAAACAAACAAACAAACAAACAAAACCAAACAAGTAACCTATCCAACATGTACGTGCTTTTTTGCGGTTGAAGGAGAGAGGACAAAAAGATCATCAAAGCCACTGACTCTCAGAACCGAAGGGATTTGGATTGGAATGTGTCGTGCAACAGAATGTATCTTAGCGGCGGGGAAACGTATTGATGTGTACTGAGAGAGAGAGAGAGAGAGAGAGAGAGAGAGAGAGAGTGAGTGAGTGCGTGCGCGTCTTTGCTTGTGTGTGTGAGCGTTTGTATGCGGGGTCGAGAAGAAGAAAGTTAGACAGACAGACAGACAGACACACAGACACACAGACACACAGACGCACAGACAGACACACAGACAGACACACAGACAGAACAAGACAAAGAGGGAAAGAAAGAAAGTAAGAAGGACTAAGGAGGAGGAAGAGGGAGAGGGAGAAAGATAGGGAGAGAAAGAAAGAGAAAACGATAGTGAAAGGGTTGAGCCGCTTCTCCCAAAAGACCCGGACTGGCGAATGTCCATCCCTGTGAGACTGGTGTAATAGCTTTATTATGCAATGTTATTGACCTGAAGTTTGGGTTCAGAGGTGTCCTTTGGGGATATGTCTAAGACTAGTTCAGTCTGGTGCCAGCTTTCTTACTTCCTTGTTCTCCTTACCACGGAGAGCCGTCGTGATCCAGTCTGTTATGACCCACCTCGTCTGATCGGGGAAAGCGGAGAACTCAAATAATGCTCAAAGTGTATTTCTCTTTCGTTCTAATTATCTCTTTCTCCCTCTGTCTCTCTCTCTCTCTCTCTCTCTCTCTCTCTCTCTCTCTCTCTCTCTCTCTCTCTCTTTCTTTCTTTCTCGTTATCTCTCTATCTCCTTCTCTATCTCTCTTTATCTATAGGTCTATCTGTCTATCTATTCATCTATCTATCCGTCTCTTATTCTCTCGTGTATTCTTTCTCGCGTTGTCTCTCTCTCTCCCTCCCTCTCTCTCACTCTCTTTCTCCATTTATTGTGTCCGTCTCTCTCACGCAAACACATAAACATACACACATATTATACTCTCAGACACACATAAACACATACACACACACACACACACACACACACACACACACACACACACACACACACACACACACACACACACACACACACATACATACATACATACATACATACATAACATACATACATACATACATACATACATACATACATACATACATGCATACATACATACATACATACATACATACATACATACATACATACATACATACATACATACATACATACATACATACACATCGTCCCTTTCATTCTCTCTGTCCCTATCTATCTATCTATCTATCTATCTATCTATCTATCTATCTATCTATCTATCTATCTATCTATCTATCTGTCTGTCTGTCTATCTATCTATCTATCTGTCGGTGTATAAAAGTCTATGGGTGTGTAATTTGTGAACTGTTTCCCTTCCCCTTTTACTATATATATATATCACATATACCTATATATATATATATATATATATATATATATATATATATATATATATATATATATATATATATATATATATATATATATATATCGTTCTCTCTCTGTATCTTTGTCTTTCGCTCTCTGCTCGCTCCCTATCTATATATCTATCTATCTATCTATCTATCTATCTATCTATCTATCTATCTATCTATCTATCTATCTATCTATCTATCTATCTATCTATCTATCTATCTATCTATCTATCTATCTATCAATGGATCTCACCACCTCTACCTCTCTCTCTCCCTCTCTGTCTCTCCCTCCCCCTCTCTCTCTCTCTCTCTCTCTCTCTCTCTCTCTCTCTCTCTCTCTCTCTCTCTCTCTCTCTCTCTTTCCCACCCTCCCTCCCGTTGATTTTGAACCCAATATTCCCTGCTTCGCTTGACTTATTCTTTTTTCTCACTTCCCCAATTACAGTCTCCACCAAGGGTGGTTCTAGTACCACTCCTACATGACTTGCAACACAAAGCCTAGCCAAAGGTTTTCGGGTGCGACTGGTCCTAGTTTGCTACCTGTGTCAATAAAATATGTGACACAACGCGATGAAATCAGACGCTCGTCATTTATTTGTTTCATGGCGCTATGGAATCAGGCGCTAGTCAATTTTTTGCCATTTGGCGTTATTTGTATCACTTAAAGCTTGCACATTTGCCGTGCTTTCAAAGAAAGAACTACCCATTTATC